AAAAAGGGCTGACTTCTATTTACATAATATATAATTAGTGCAAATATTTTTCTTGTATGCACAGTTTTATGTAAAGATAGCATTTGGGCTCAGATGTTTATCACATATTTCTTTCTTCGTGTTATTTCCCACTTATTAAGTAATACTTCACATGGATATTTTTGCGAGGTGTCCAAGATTTATTTCAAATTCTTTCAACCAGGTAGTGAAATCTTCACAACTGCTTACATTTCATCGAACTTCGAAATGAAAATTTTCAAAAGAAATCGACGAAGCTTTCATTATCTTGTACAGAAAATTACGTGGCAGAATATTTTAAACCATATTAAAGCACGCGAAAGGTCATGTGACATGACAAAAATGTTACTGGATACTCATTGGTCCATCCTAGAAGCCCACTCCCTCGGTGGCTACACAGATGTGCACTTGTGACGGTACACCCTCCATACATATATACCCACTCTGTTACTCAGCTCAGTCAGTTCAGTTTTTACTTCCTTGTGCGATGTAAAAAGGAAGTATCGTAATCGCGAAAAATTTCGGGTATCATATTTCAACGAAAATATCCATTTTGACCGCTATCGAATACAATTTAACGATGCTTTTGCGTGACATTGTACATAAGGAAAAAATAAAAGACTCTTTTCCCCCAAAAAAAATTATAAAACTGGTTTTAAATGAATTCTGAAGAAAATTTTTCGTCGCATCTGTGCATACGTACGTACGTAACTACATACGTATGTATGTTTCTCGCATAACTCAAAAACGAGTAGCTTCAGAACGTTGAAATTTTGTATAAAGGATTGCTATAACATGTAGATGTGCACTTTCCTATTTTGTTACAATTGGACGCACCAACCGTATATGAATATATGTGTATACATATATGTGATGTACCAGCTTTTGTCCGGAATAAATAGATTTGTGAAGATGTAGTCGTAGCTTAAATTATCAGACGATAAGTTTAAAAAACAGGATCCATTTATTATTGGTCAGGAGAAATAGCAGTTACAAAATTGATATCTCCGGAGTAAATAAAAAAGAATTACTAATAACTTTTTGTATGAAGTTTACTGCATTGTTACATTAAAGAAAAGCCCCCGATATTCTTTTGCGAGTCCTTTTATAGCCTCTGGAAAGGCGGAGCTTCCAAGAAATGACGTCAGCTTCGTCAGCCAATTCAGTTCGCTTTAAATATTTCCAGAACATTCTATAACTGCACGTGTAGAAAAGGCGGGAAAAACAACTTGACTACGGGGCTGTGGATTTAATACTACGTACTTTCAAATAAGAGAACGTCGCCATTAAAAATGAAAAGAACATACAGTTAGAATTTTAAGTGTATTCTTGACTATGGAATTTTATTATTACAAATATATCCACTCTATTACTCGGCTCAGTGATCTCAGTTCCTTTACTCTTAAATGTCTGTAAACTGTGTATTTTTTGCTTTAAAAATGATTAAATTATGTTGTTCTTATCTTCCGGTTAAGGTTTTTATGGTTTTAGTAAATCTGCATACAATATTTGTAGAAATATCAACAATTTCAAAGTTGTTTAAGTGCGGCTAAGCCTAACATTATTTTTACCATAGCAGCCATATTTGTTTAGATTTGAAACTTAGCAGAATAGTGGATTTGTTGCCAATCTTGAGAAACTACAAGAAAGATAACTCCTTGTTTTATTATTGGGAATTAAATCATGCTTAATCCATTATTCGAGGAAATATGAGTTAAAGATTTACTTCGTAAATTTTAATATAGATACTTTGAGTTTTTAATGTATTTTTACCTTGTCGCGAAGTGAGAATTGAATGAATTGAATGAGAAATACTGAATCGTTTGTGAAAAACTGTTTCTTTTTCGTTTTTCTTTTCTTTTCTTTTTTTTTTCTTTTTTTAATTTCTTTTATACATCGTTTTAGATTTATTATAGTATTGGAATAGAACATGTGGCAACAATTAGATAATTCTTCAGATGATATAAATTTTGCCCATTCTGAGTTATAAAATGATCGCCATCTTCTTTCCGCCCTCCTGGACTTACTGTGCTGCGCTCATTCTACTTGAAGCACCCTTCTATGGAACACGAAGTTCTGACAGGCGGAACACAGTATGAACTTTTCATGCTAATCTCGTCAGGCAGCGAAAGTTGGAGTTATAAAATGAATGAGATGTAATGCTGTGAAGTGAACCTAGCGCCAGAGTGCCGCTATGGTAAACAAATATAGTAAATTTTAAAGAGTGCATTTATTCTATTGTGGTTTATGCGCTATCGGCGAAGTATATTTAACTCAATCGAATAAGTTTAAATGAAATGCAAGAAAAAATGCGTATAATTTAATTAAGTACAAGGAAGTCATGTGGTGTGACATCAGATTTTTTTTTATCCTTATATGTTGGTAAGTTGTACATTTTTTTCTTTAAAAATAATTGAATTAAATTGTTCTTATCTTCCGGTTACGATTTTTATGTCTTATCTTCCGGTTACGATTTTTATGTCTTTAGTTAATCTGAATGCAGTAGTTGTAGAAGTATCAACAATTTAAAAGTTAAGTGCGGCTAAGCATAATTCTTTTTACCATAGCAACCGTATTTGTTTACATTTGAAACTTTTCAGAATAGTGAATTAAGTCAGTTTCTGCACCTTCAGTGTATTTTTGCCGAGTGAAACCAAAAGGAAACTTTTAGTCTTTTTGCACCGAAAAATCTGCTTTCTTGCCTGCTGACTGAAATGCTTGTTTTTGCGTAGAAACTATAATTTTATTTTATGCTATTCTGTATTCGGTGTTTTATGCTATTCTGTACCTTTCAACTTTTAATGAAGATGTTTTGAGGTTTTAGGTATCTTTGCCGCGAAGTCAGAAGTGTATTATGGAATGAGAAATCTATCGCTAATGAAATTCGAGGAAGAACGTTTAAGTGAAATGGAGCAAAACTGCGTATAATTTAATATGGTGTCCGCATCACATTTTTTCGTTAGGTCACTGTAGATAGCATATGTGAGATAACGAAATGCATTCTTATGCGAAAAATAACAGAAATTCACTACTTGTCAATGAAACAAATTTCATTGGAAATGAAAGGGTGTGAAAGGTAGAAAAATACACCTACAATTGAATACATTAATGACTTAACTTAGAGTCGATGCAGTCCTTGAATAAGTCAGAGTCAATGGAGTCCTAGAGCCCGAAGCAAATGGTAATTGAATACTACGTTTCAAAGGTTAGTTCGAAGTGAAAAGTCAGTCATCTTTAAAATTAAATTTTACATATTTTTCAAGTAATATTTATCTAATTGTATAACAACGGGAACATAACTATGTTCCTGTTATTAACCATGTTCCCGTTAACGCAGATTAAACGCGTGATAACTTTGTTAATTATTCCAGCTGAATCTAGAAGATACTCAATTTCTGTTTTCAGTGCTTACAGGGGAAAACATCCTATACGAAAGAATTACACAGAAAACAATGCAAGGAGGAAACATCGTCGGTGAAAAGAAAAGAAAGCTATAATATCGCAATTCTAAAATACCGTGTTGTAGACGTTACTTTAAGTTTAAACATGCTTTACTGTCTGGTCTCGTTTCCCATCTACTATTCCCTACCAGAATGAGTTTTTATTATCGCCCCGTATGCAAGTGAGTTAGAAGGAGTATTTAAGGACTGTTCAGCTTACTTCGAGACAGAGAGAGAGCGTACTTAGAAGTCATCAGCGGCGCGTATTCGAGAGGTCCAGGTTCGAGTCTCGGCGAGGATGTTTCTCATTTTTCATGTACTCCTGCTTCAAAAATAAGTAATGGCTCTACAGTGGCGCCCGAACTAAAAGTGATGGATGATGATTCTTCACTACCAGAATTTAGCAGTTGGGTCTACAATCACCCTTTAAAAAAGGAGGAGTATATAAGGTATTTTCTGCCTCCTTTCTTCATTCTTTCATGGTGTAACGCCAGTGCACTTGGAGCGTATTCGAGAGATCCAGGCTCGAGTCCCGGCGAGGGGATTGCTCATTTTTCATGTATCCTGCTTCAAAAGTTCTAATGATTCTACGGTGTTATAAAACGTCATCATAGGGAATAAAGCGGTTCAAAAGAAAAGCTTTAAAACATCACTGTAAAAAATACCGCAGTGAAATATAAAGAACCTATAAATCACCACGAAGGTGTGTTACAGACTTTAAAAATTTTAAGCGCATATTTACATGATTATTTGTGAGCCCAAGAAAGAATTAGGAATATTTTTACCGCTATATTTCATGTTTTTGAATTTGTTTATTAATTTCTACTGAAAATACAAGAAGGAAATTTCTACGTATAAACACTTAACAGAATTTTAAACTGATGTATTTAACAATCAAATCTCATTATTTAACTGTCATCATGCGAGGATTTATACTTGTTTCATAGAAATATTTTAATAGCTGTGACTTACCTCTCGACCGTTTAATCGGAAGAGAGGTCAATTGTAATTTATTTTATTACTTAAAAGAGACTGGCTTTTATTACTTAATGTAATCTGTTCTGCAGATTGTGTATTGTATTTTAATGTGTGCTTTTACCTGGTTTTTTACACGACTTCATCCTCCGGATTTGGTACATGTATCCTTTTTTAATTTTTTGTTAATAAGTATTTGATTTCATTAAATTGGGTCATCCCACCTTTTGTTTGGCGCATCATAATCATCTTTGGTTTTTGCGCTAAAAAACTCACTCACTCATTTATACTTGTTTTATTTTTTACCTCGACGTTTTAAAACTGCAAAATTTTCCACGACAATGTTTTTTACTATGAAGTGCTGGAAATGCAATGTTGTCTCCTTATTACTGTTTCTACGACAATATCTTATTTATACGACGATATTGTTCTCTTGCATTGGCTTCTCAGCGACGATTTCTTCCGCGATGTTTCGGATGGACGCCATTTTCAACCATTTATCAACTTCTTTAATATGCAACATATTAATTCGACTTCAATTAACTTTTAGTATTATCTTGTACTTACCTGTAAGCACCTGATGATGAAGATCAGATATTTTGGCGTTACGTATTTAAATAACATTTGCAAGGTAAAGTCCTTAAGATCGAAGACAATCACACATCCACACACAGAGGTTGCTTCTAGTCGATTAATAATGTGTGCGATTGTGAAAACTGTTGCCGTCAGATCTTCGATTGTAGCTTCCTTCCAGTTGAACTGACCTGTAAGGATAAACAGATAGATTATTTATAAAGTAGACACTGAAACACTTTATACCCGACTGTCCGCGTGCGAATTATCAGTGTTTCGTTACAGAGAAAACACCATGCCAAGTAAGATTATAACGGTCAGATTGTACTCCGACTATACAGCCCATTACAATAAATAAATAAATAAATAAATAAAATCTGAAAGTTTTCAGATTTTGCATTACGTCCAAAGGCGTTAAGAAAACGCCCAGGCGTTTTCTTAACGCCCCTTTGGGCGTAATGTGTGTGTGTGATTATGGCAAAGCCTCGAGGGCTATCTGTCAAAGGGGAGGGATGCCTTCGGGGTGGACTTCTAAGGGAAACTGGCTCGTATACACGTTACACATGGGGAAAACCATGAAAACGCCCATGCAGCCAACCCGTTCGCGGGATTCAAACCTCGGACCGAACTACCAGTGTTCAGCGACTTTACCGCTCGGCCACTGGTGGGCCCTTTGGGCGTAATAAAATCTTTAATATGCAAGTTTTATCAGAATGGATTGAAAAATAAAAAAATAATTCTTAAATTATCCTAACAAAAAAAAAAGTGTACTCATTACTTTTAAATACTTATAATTAAAACACATATACTCTAACATATATATTTTGCAATTTAATTTCGTCTGCCCAGGATAGCTAAAGCTTAAAATTTCAATTCAACAAGGGAAGCGATTTTTCCATTGTATAACATGAATGGAAGTTAATTTACTTAAAAGGTCCTCCATGAAGGCATCCCTTCCCTGTGTGTTACCTTTATTTACTAAATATCATGTTCTTCGCACTTGAACCGTAACATTCGATTCAACAGCAATATCACAAAATATTTGAAAAGAGCATATCTTTGGAATTTCCGATACACAGTCTCGCGCGCTGCAGATAAAAATGTTTTTTTTTAGCCCTATAGGTATCAACATAGAAGGGCTCTTAATTTCGTTTGGGTATTTTGCGTTGATAGCTAGATTAGAACATTGCTATATATAAATCTAAAACATATCCTAAATCGCGCTTTCGAGACACGATAAACGCAACTTGAATTTCGTTAATCGGCCCAGTAGAACGGGAGATATAGAACTTTCTCATTTTATTTATGTTATATATAACATATTACAGTTTTTTATTAGCCGTTTAGTTACATATATTAAATCCATATGATAATGGTTTTGAATCAAGGAGGTTAGAATAGAAGGAGGGAAGGTTCAACTCAAACGGTGAAGCTTGGCGGCCATCTTCCTGTTATCACCGTGACTTGTGCAAGGAAGTCTGTCATTGCAGCATTTTTTTCTTTTCTTTTTGAAGCATGTCAGCTTGTATTGCATATGGTATGGATGCACAAATAGATTCTCGAAAAAAATTCCGGGCATTATTTTTCACACGTAAGTATTAATTTTCTTTTTTTATGTAATATGACAACTATGTCAAAAAATATCACAACGTCATGTTGGTTTTCTTTCCAGATGTGAAAAAAAAGGGACTTAAATAATCAAAATAGGTTACGTAATATAACTATAATCAAAATATGTTAAATACATTTCAATGTTTCTGTTTATAGCCTGGTATCTTCGTTCCTTAAGATACAATGCTATATGGTAGGATTTAAATTGTATAGTTTGAACGTTTTAGTTAATTCGTTTTATAACTTTCATGAAAAGTAAGAAATCAATTGTTACTATTTTTATTAATTGTAATGGTGTTAAATAAAGCAATGCTTTTCTTCATATATTAATTATTATTCATTTTTTTAAGTTAAGATAAACTGTTCTGTTGTTAAAAATGTTTTGCATAAACTTACAAATTTCTGGGCAGTATAGTGATAAAATTAAGTAAAATATTTACACAATTGAACATGTGGAAAGATGTAACCAAAAACTTATATAGGTGTATTTCTGTAATTCAACTTAATTAAAGGCAGTTTCTTTGAGATTAATAAATATGAAATGCGCATAAAACTGAAATCAATGATTCACATAAATCTGTTTTATTTTATTAAGATTTATTTTCTACCTAAACAAATTCTTGAAATATGCAGAAACATCATTTTTAAAGGCTTTAATGTTATGCGCATGCATTGAGACTCCGAACTATTTCTTAATGATTTTCTGTACGTAGTAAATTACGGATATCCTTTTTGTAACTTTAAAACAAAAAAATTAACATGGCAAAGCATTTCATTATATATTTAACATATTTTTCCTGGAATATATATGCACGGGAACAGTTTAGAAACACGTAAGTTTCACTGCCGTAATGCAATGTTTTGAAGTTCCAAACATGGACGCCGCTTTTTCGGTGGAGTTTCATTCCCCGATACTGAAGGAAACTGCGAACCCTCCCTCCTTCTATTCTAACCTCCTTGTTTTGAATATATAGTTTCAGTTCTAAATTCAAAGAACAGAGCTTCACTAAATGCTGCAAGAATAAACTTAACAAAACGAAATAACTTACCTACTCGTACAATTACCACTGCAGAACCGTTGCAGTCCCTGGAAAGCAAAATTGTAAAACATTTCATATCCATTATTGTTTTAAACTCAGAAGGTAGAAAATTGCTAATGATTCGGGAGTGCTTTTCCTTAAAGATGTAAAAGTTCCGCAGAGCGTCGAAAGCTTTCTGGATGTCGTGTTTTTTACAACGGAGGAACATCAGTAGGAATTGGTCGTCCATGAAAGGATGGAAATTCGGTTCATCTGCAAAAGGAACCAAACGAATTGTAGGAATTAATAAATGTTTTCTTTGCTAGTAATAAAAGTGAAACAGTAGAAGTAAAACTTATTAGACAGCATTGTGATAATTAAGATACAATAACACGCCGAACAAATATTAATTTAGAAGTCAAACAAACAAATGATCCTGCTGTTTCGTTCACTTTTGAACTTGAGACTTGCAATTCTCTTCCGTTTCTCGACATTCTGGTCACGCGTAACACATTCAACTTCAGTACTACCGTTTACAGTAAACCTTCATCGGCTTGCCTTCCACCACATTTCAAATCATGTCATCCGACTAAAAAGTTAGCTTCATTTTATTCCTATGTTTTCCGTGCTCTTCAAGTTTGCTTCTCCAAACTCCTTGATGAAGAACGAAATTATTTAAAAACTATTGACAGGGGCTTTTCACCCAACATTATTAATCAAGCAGTTAAAAAATTCTCATCTCAACACACCAAAAGGCACACACTTGTTTTAGGAGATTATAAAAATTCTGTTGTCATTCCCTTCTTTCCATCAATTAGCTATAAAGTTGCACGTATTTTGCAGAAATTTAACTTTCGGGTCGTTTATTCTACCATCAATAAAATTCCGAGTTCCATACTCAAGGACCCCATTCCGGATATGAATTCCTGGGGTATTTACAGGATCCCTTGCCAGTGTGGTTTAATTACATTGTAATGTAATAATTTACATTACAAACTAAGAGAGCCTTGAAATTTCGCGTTAAGGAACATGAAGCATATGTTATAAAAAAGGAAACACAGAAGTCTTCTGTTGTCCAACATTGTTGGTTCGAAAATCACACTTTCAATTTTTCTTCTGAAAAAATTATTCAAAAAACATCTTCTATTGGTGAAATGGATATTCTAGAGGCATTTTACATTAAAAAAATATTTCTTAGTTGTAAAATTAACGACTCTAATTCCAATCCATCTTTCCCTTCAGTCTTTAAAGAAATTATTTTTAGTTCTGGTTTCATCAACAGATGGCGCCAGTAGCTTACCTCCTGTCCAGACTTTCTTATCTTATCTAATCACTATATCTTATCTCGTTCATTTCAGATTTTGCAGCTTAGGATGATGGTTCGGTACAACCATCGAAACTAATCCTGTGAAAATTTGAAAATATAACGCTGATTTTTGTTGTTTGACTTCTAGACATTGTGATAGTTGTAAATTGAAGAATTAGAGCTTGTCGTTTAAATTTATGAAATGTTGTTTGGTCGTTTTGTAGAGTCTATGTCTTTTTGCGAGCATAAATTGTAGACCCTACTGCAGTAGCGAATTCTCGCTATGTCTTTGAAGAACAGATACTGTAAGGATTTTAAGTTTTATTAACGTTTATTTTGTTCTAAAACTTTACACCCCCTCTTGTTTTCCACTTCCGGCCAGAATAAACGAGGTTAGATTTTGTATGCAAATTGAGCTTCCAAACTGTTAAGTGTGGCTTTTAGCCAAGAAGGAGTTAGAGGGAGAGAGACTTCTCGCCATCTTATTTCACGCGCGTTTTTCATTCAGTTGCCTTTAAGGCCAAAATTTAGTCCTCTTGGTATTGAGGACATATTGTAGTTTTCCCGCATTCTGCGTACTGCATACGTAAAGATTAAGAGGCCAATCTTAGTGTTACTAGTCCTTGTAAAGTATTTGAGTTTGGCTCTTATTTAAATTTAGTTAGTTTGTACCTCTTAGTTTTTTTTTTTTTTTTTTTTTTTACGTTTTAGACTATAAGTACTGGTCTTTGTATCCCGAAGTGTAGGAACAACTGCAAACTGTGAAGAATCAAGGGTAGTTAAACCCTTCCTACTTGTGTTGTAATCTTCTACACTTCAAGGAAGATAGTTTTTAGTTCTCACTCAGGTTTTAGTTAATGTCCTGGTTTTACTCAGGACTCCAACATGTTTACCGAAGCCATTAGAAGAAATAGTAGCCCTGATAATACTACAAACGAAGGTTTAAATAACCTTTTTATTTGAACTAGCGTAGCAAGATGCACTCACTCGAGATACTCACAATTCACCACCACATTCGGCTAAATAAAATTGAACGGAAATCACAACAAATTGGACTGGCTACTTGTTTATCTAAACCGTTAAATCGGCTGCAAACGCAAAGCCGAGCGTAGAATATCAATATAATCTGAAGAGGGTGGCTAACACCAATTAGAGGTATATTTCAAAAACGCAGCATGAACTCGGAACCAACTCCGCTGCTACTCTTCAGGAACTCTTGAAACCGCAGCTTAAATACTGCTTCTGAATACACTTAGATTTTGCATACTACGTCAATAAAATTTACATTCCGGCAGGAAACTGAAATCATTAGGTAAAGGAAAGTAAAAATAATTGGTTAGAATAAAATGCGGCTTTTACAGTTAGAATCTTCTGTCTTCTATATCAGAAGCCTTCAACCAGGGAGAATTCCTCTCCTAGAGTGGAATTTCATAATTTCACAAGAGGACAACCATGGAGAATTCCCCTCCTAGAGTAGAATTTCATAATTTCGGGGGAGGATAACCATGGAGAATTCCCCTCCTACAGTGAAATTTCATTATTTCAGGGTAGGACAACCAGGGGGAATTCAATTCCTTGAGTGGAATTTCATAATTTCAGAGGAGGATAACCAGAGAGGATTCCACTCCTAGAGTGGGGTTTTATAATTTCAGGGGAGGAACGAGGGCAGCCTTCTATTACCTGTGAAATATTTAGTTTTATTTTATGAACATTAAGAAACGACTGTTGCGTGCGTACGTTTTCGTAATGGATTGAATGAAGCAGAACAAACGATAGCTTGATAACATTTATTTTCCCCAAAGATACACTTTACAATTCTGAAACGTTAAACAAAAGCACTCGTATGGCTCTTGTCGGTATCACAGAGCACAATCAGTAGTTACACTTCAAACCCCCATAACACAAGACATCCTCAGGATATCCTATTTAAGTCGCAATGTCCCGGGAAGCAGTTAGGATATCCTGAGGATGTTGATTCTCAAATATCCTGAGGACTACTTAAGTCAACACCCTGAGGATATCCTATTCAAATCTCAATGTCCCGGGATATATGAAGATCTCCTCAGAATGTTGATTTTCAGATATCCTGAGGACTTCGTAAATCAGCATCTTAAGGATGTCCTGTTCAAGTCGTAATATCCCGGGATATATGAAGATCTCCTGAGGATGTTGTTTCTCAGATATCTTCAGTACTTACTTTTTATGGAAGCTCATATCTGAAAATATTAAAGTAAAGTAAACTTGTACCACTCGCAGGTCATGTTATAATAATCGAAATGTTATAATAATCGAAATCTTACTCTATGGATTACCTATTCTGCATATGAAAATTTAATTGTTATGCTTACACTGGTTTTCGTCTTGTATATGTTGGCTGTAAGTGTTAAAGTAAGTAAGTGTTAAATTTTTGTTTTTGTTTCACAGTGTCTAGTGATCAGAGTACTTTCTTACAAATTATATGCAAGTGTTTTCAGCCGTTTTGAGTTTCATATTGAAAGTGTGTTTACGATTAAATTCTAATTGCTACATAATATATTTTGTAAACATTAATTTAGATACTTTTCTAATATCTTTGAACACAAATATTATTTACGTTACAGGTTAACTCAGAAAATCTTTCACGAAGACATCCTATGAACTTATCCTATGATCCTATGAACCTACGAACCTATGAATCCTATTATCCTATGAACAGATGGGCATGATGTACATCCATGCCTTATCTGGCATTCGAACTTGAGCCCTTCTGTACGGCAATCAGTCATTAATCACTTAGTCTCTGAGACACTAATCAGAAATATCAAGTTATAAAAGTATTCTATTAAATTCATCGATAGTTCTTAGCATAGAAATAACTATATTTTGAAACTGCAAAAGAAAAAAATACTTTCTGATCTGTTACAATATTATATTAGTTTTGAATGATGTTTAGTGCTGTGCAGTAATAAGTAATATTAATTTTTTTTAACAAACGAAATTTTAGTTTACAGACGCAGTTAAAAACTAGTCTGTACGAGGTTTAACTTGCTTTAATTTGAATTTATAAACAGAAGAATAATTTTATTTGGCTAAAAATTGCATTGCAGTTTCTTCGTTCATTTGCTGGTAAGTTCTATGGTAAATTTTTTATTAATGAGAATTAATCTTTCAAAACGACTGAGGTAAGAAGTAACCTATTTTTTACCTCTCTGTAATAGGAAAATGCGGTTTAAGAATGGGGAGCAGTAACATTACTCTCCTTAAACCTCCGTTAGCTACCCCAGAGTACCCAGAGTACACAGTGAGAGCTCTTTAACCATACGAATAACCGATTTTTGCTAAACAAAGCGCGAAAAAAATATATTCAGCACCTCCCAATCTTATACGTTATGCCTGCAATGCTACATGACTCCTTATATTAACAATAATACGCTTATTAATTTATTGTAACATCCAGAAATGCAGTAAACCGTTCTTCAAGATATAACAAAGTTAATGTTGTATGAAAACTCAAAATTAGATAACGGATTAAATAGATGTTCAACTTTAAATTAAAATGATTTAATTTTTAAATTAAACGCGTCTTTAACTCAGCAGTTTTATTACTTTATTTTATACTATAAAACAATTAAATGTTTGTTTCTGTCACTATCATTGTTCGTAAAACTGCTTCTCAAATTTTCTTTGCTTTGAGAAAAACTGAGCTCCGCTCAGAATGTAACAACTCTGAGCACTTTTTCTGTAGCCGATGCCCCAAGAAGATTTCTCTTTGTTAACGTGACAGATTATGTGTCAGACCTTCCCTTCATTGTATCCCCACAAGGAAACATCCCTTCACACACAAGGACGCCCCCAATGGTTTAAATTGTCCGTAATAGTGATATCCTTAAAGAACCCCACAAGTGGAAAGTACACGTCCATGGTGTAACGTACTTCTTTCTGATTTTAGATTCAGCTATTTTGCTAAAGTTAAAGCCGTCGTTCCAAA